AATAAGACTTATTAAAACGGAAGGAGAATAGTGCTTCGTGAATGCAAGCCAAATACCGTAGCACTAAATTAACCGTTGTCGGAAATCACGAACATACTTCAAATATTTGAAGCCACAGTTAAACAAACATTTAAGCGCAGTACCCCCAGGGTAAAGTCTTGCTCCTTCGTGATTCCGTCTTTGTAATACATACACAAAATGTTAATTTAATTTAATTAAAATACTACTACAATGATAGTTGAAATTATTTATATTTTAAAAGATGTAGGAGGCTAAAAAGTTAGTGTGCTATTCAATTGATGTCGCTTGAATCGCGGTATTGTTTTGTTGTTCGAATCGTATAAGTTGTTCAAGGTAATTTCTCTCACCTATTGAATTGGTATACATACTATTTGTTCATGCTTCCTAGTTACCTAGATGTTATAGCAGTGTGTTTTGAGTTTGTTTGTCCCAAAAAGCAAAATCTCACCAAGGATTGCGCTTCCCAATTGGGTATTTCAGTATTTCTTTGTATATAGTAGAGAGACTCTACGAACTAATACTCAAGAATTGTCTTGGTTGTAGTCAATTGCGATTTGCGTATTCTTTCAAAATAATTTATTTTTTCTTGTACATTGTCGTTGTATTATATATTCAAAATATCATGATAATATACAATATTTACTTGTGAATTGTGACCATCTGTAATCACTAAAACATTTAATTTAATTTTTTGCTTGCATTTCCTATGACAATATTTGATTTGTTTCTTCCTTAAGGCTTATGGTATATTTTTAAACGTCCCACAAATGACACTTTATATGGATTTGAATTAAAAGCCTGAGGTCAAGAGCAGCTAGTAGCTTAACCGTGCAACTCTCAGCCCTATACCACAATTGGTTTTCTGTAAACTTGCCCCTACGGTGAAGGCAAACATTGTAAGGACATCAGGTTGATTACCTATGTATTTATATAAATAAAGCATTATCGTACGTACTTTATGGAGTAATACAATTTATTTTCATCAAGTGTATATAGCAGTGTTGGCCTAGTGGCTTCAGCGTGAGACTCTCATCCCTGTGGTCGTAGCTTCGATCCCCGTCTGTGCACCAATGGACTTTCTTTCTATGTGCGCATTTAACATTCGCTTGAACGGTGAAGGAAAACATCGTGAGGAAACCGACATGTCTTAGATCCTAAAAGTCGACGGCGTGTGTCAGTCACAGGAGGCTGATCACCTACTTGCCTATTAGATTAAAAATGATCATGAAACAGATTTAGAAATCTGAGGCCCAAAGAGGTTGTAGCGCCACTAATTTTTTTAATACAATTTATTTCCAATACACAGTATTTACAATATTCTTAAAAAAGATTAAGGTTAGCACCTGGTAGAAAGTACCGGTGACCCCAGAGCTGGTGCTTTCCTCGCTCGAATAAGTATCGCAATACAGTGAAGAAATGCCAGCATTAAAGGTGCACTGCAACAAGGACCAAACTTTTTAAATTTATCCATTTTATAATTAATATTATTATTAATATGTAGAAACGAATTAGACTTGAGGCCACTGGCCTTAGTGCCACTGGATTTTTTGATTGCCTAACAACGTAACATAGACTTTTGTATGTAAGACCACTCTCCGGATCGTAATAATTCCATTTACGATATGCAATATTTCAACGTCAGTTCAATTCAACGTTTTGTTACATCCGAACGAATATTGTACGTGAGAACTCGAATCCATTTTTCTTAACCGACTGTGGGGCGGAATCGCATCTATCTTGATCACGCCGGTTTAGGCCTAGCGTACATGCATGTCACTTGTCCATTCATATTCTACTATAAACGAACAAGACTAGTAGTTTTGTATTGAAACAAATTGTTTAATATTTGCCCCTAGTGAAATTCATTTTGCAATGTTTTAACGTACTCATTTATCTTATCACAGAGTAAACACAATTTGACAGAGCGTTGTTTGAATTGTCTGGTGATAGTTTGTTGACTGAAGATCTAAATTAATTTAAACAACTATTTTCAAAGTTCAATAATGTTGCACTGCTACATAGACTTCATGTTCTGCAGCCGCACTCTTCATTTCTGAAGTTCGTGTTAATGGCGCCGCACAACTTCCTCCACTCTCCCCTGTCTTCAACAAGCCTCATCCACCACCTCCAGGCCCTTACAGGTCTTCCCTTTCCTGGGGTGGTAAGACCTGTAAGGGCCTGGTGCCCACTTTTCTAGTCACGATATAGTTTCTAAGAAAACCTATATTTTGTTTTATTAACACAATCCCCGCAATCATTTTTGCACATCAATTGTACTACGTTCTACTGTATTTGAATATATTCATCAAAACGAGATAACTGTTTACGTAATGTAATCGATTGCCGGACTCATTCACAACATCTTGTATCTGTCTAACACAAAACGTATTGGAAACTGAATAAATTGTGCCATGTACACAAGTCCAGGCGAGATTTATTGTCACACGGAACACTCTGTCTTGCTAAGCTTTCTTTGGTCCGAGAACATACGATAAACACAACTGTATACCGATATTCTGTTTGCAATTCAAATCCTTCTAAACACAGTTGGAAAACGTTTTATTATGGACATATAAAACACGACGGATTAATGGGGTTTTTCAAGGACTATGGTTTTATGGTTTAGAGACAGTTGGTATATATTAGAGCACTGTTAATAAACAGATTGGGCTGGAGTAGTGTTTGCCTAGCTTCAGTGTGCTTCACACTTTACTTCTTTGAGGTCGTAAGTTTGAACCCCGGCTGTGTACCAATTGACTTTCTATGCGCGCACTTAGCACTCGCTAGTGCGGCTTCCCGGAAACATCGTGACGAAACCGGCATGCCATCAACTCAAAAACAGAAGGTAGATACAGAAATCTGAGACCTAAAAGGCTGTGGCTTTATTTATTTATAAACAGAATACTGCAAACGTAAACGCCATAAAATTTGTTTTACGCACGCAAAACGCAAATCAAACGTGCGTTTGATTCTGATTTGACAAGCGAACATGTCGTGTCAACGCGTATTGGCCAATAACTAGCAAACGGAACACTGGCGTTTCACCATCCGTTTTTCATTTATTAATAACAATATGTTTTTAAATTATAATTATTCTAGCCGTTAGACTAAGCCATTCGTTAGTGGTAACGACGTAGATACTGGCCAGCTTTAATTCTAAGCGCGTCCTGAAGTAATTATCTGGTCGGGAATATAGCCAAAACTAATGTTAGGAGTTAAATATTATAATGGTATTATTATTAAATTAGTTTCAAAATTAAAAACAAAATATTTTTAATTGAATCCGACATTAATGTGTCTGATTTGTGTCAATGATATTAGCAGCGAAGTAACTTGAAACCATTATAATGAATTTACTATAAAATGACGCAAACTTTAAAAATATACAGTATTTATATTATACATAACCTATATTATATAGTAATTATAATAATAAATTGATAAATAGAAAATTAAAACAGATTTAAAAAGTTTGGTCCCTGTGACAGTGTACCTTAATTGCTGGCAGCATTTCCTTGCTGTATTGTGATATTATTCATTGAGCCAGGAAAGCGCGAGCTCTGGGGTCATGTCAAATATCTGTCAATATTTGCCTTTTTTTATGAAGATATTTTAATAATAATTGTCATAGTACGTACATAAAGCCGTGTTCTTGTTGTTGTTCTTCTAATAATACTTTTTTTATTATAAAGCATCAAAGTGTAAATAAATAATACATCGCGATTTTTTGCGGTTTCCATATACATATAATTAAATGACGAGAACTTTGTATTTGACAGTCACGTGATAAATGTGCACTGTATTCATGGTTAACACCTATAGAAAGATGCTTTGTTTCAGAGACTGTTTTTTTTATTTTTATCTTCATGTTTTCGAACTAAAGAAGGCTGTATAATTTCCCTTAAAGTCAAGTAGTTCAGCATTCTGTACAAATTATCCTTTTTTTATTATGGAAAGTGTTAATTGCGCAATTGGTAAAAATAATGGGCACACAGCCATGACATAACGGCCAAGGGCTGCTCGCTGCCTATTAAGACAACGCTGCTATATTAATCTTTACAGAGAAATAAAGGGCAACCTCACAATCAAGTGTTCATAATATAAATTACCTTTGCATTAAATACCATAAATTATGTAGATAATTAATTAATAAAGCTTGTAAGTGGCCTACATGTCAAAGTGTTTCAACAACTGTTCAAATACCCCTATTGCATAAGTGACCTAATTCTAGTAATACTATTAAGCTCTACAACAGCGAACCAGAATTCGATTTATAAATCTATTCAAAATGAATGAATTTATTTGAAGAGCTGCTCTTAAGTTAGGTAAAAGGGTAGCAAAGGTCTTTAAAATGATGTGTTTAATATACTATTTAACTAAGTAATATGTAACAACTACTGACTTTTCGTCCGTTCTTGATTTGAATTGTTATATCTAAATGAATATCATATTTTTTAATTTGAGTTTCCCTTTGTATTAACAAACTGTTTTACAAAATATTTCGTATGTTTGTACACAAATTATCTTTAAACATATTAATTATATTTGTTTTATCATAATCCTACACGAAACATCTAATTCTAATGTTTTTCTTTATTTAAACCAATTTGTATTAATTAAAAATAAATATACAATGTGTATAAAAATCCACACACATGTTGAAGCCATTGAGAGTTAATTCTAACTGATGTTTATAAATAATAAAAATATTTTTCTATATAGATAATTCGTTTTTGGTTCTTAATGCGGTAATTTTGCTACTAGAAAGTCTGTTTGTTAAGACGGATTTTGCATCTTAGAAGTGTTTGATCGTGGAATATATTTGCATATTTTTTTTATAAAATAATTATTATTTATGAAAATTGAAAGATGTCACTGCCAGACATTACCCATTACCCATTTTAGAACCAGCCGAGCCCACAATTAAATTCATTGTTTATTTTCCAATAATCCAGTACTAAAAGCGTTTCTCTTTACAGGTAATCCTCTGAGTTGCAATTGCCGTCTCTCCTGGATTTATACCCTTCGCAATGAAACAAAAGACAACACACTCAGACGGGCTCTAGACAAAGTAACATGTGTCGCTGAAAACAATGAGATTGATAGAAGTTTAAACGATCAAATTGATGAACAAGTAGAAAATCCTGTTTCAACGAATGAAAATTACGACTATTACGACAAAAATGACGAAAAAGAAGAAACGGTCACAGAAACGAGAGGTAAAGCTATTAAACTATTAGATTTACCGATAGAAGAACTACCATGCCCAAAAGAACTGATGCGATCTATTGAAGAGTCATATGGTCACCCAATTCAGAACGAAATAAGGTTGAAGGCGTACTCAAAAGACGATAGAAACTTACCACATATAATCCTTATCGTAATGATGATGCTTATCTAAGATGTTAATAACGAATCAATACTATTTGTGATATTAGATGTTAAAATTTTAACTGTAGTCTGGACTTTCAAAATATGTAAAACGTTACAAACTTCTGTTGTTTGAAGGTAGATTTGGAAAAGTTAAATTAATCTTCGAAACTTAACATTGGCTTAAGTTATAACTTTGGTTTCGAAAATTGTAAGATGTCTGTTGAACTGAAACCTACGCATTTATAAATTAAATGTATATAATGTTATAAATTACCTTTATAGTTAATTACTAAATATTAACGTTAAGATATTTCTAAGGAAGCTTTTCAGTCAAGTTATTTCATCTGCAAATAAATCAACAAGTTTGCTTTGAACAAAGCTTTTTCTGCGAGAACTTGGTAGTCATTTTTGTAGAGAAAGTTTATAAAGCACAATATAACTTGAGACCAGAGTTAAATATTAAATGAATTCCACAAACTTTTGTCACGGCCTTGTTAAGTGAAACGCTAATATTTTAAAAGCATATCGGAGTTGTTTCGCCATGAAGTAGGTTACTTTATAGGTTCTAAGACTGGTTATAGCATTATGCATTTATGATTGTCCTGGAAAGGTTATAACGCTGACAGCTAAGCGCATAGAAGCATATACGCGTTATATTAAGGATCTTGTTTATAGTAAAATCAGCCTTTGCTTTATACAAGGTTTTGTAGAAAGAAATAGTATAGTCACCAATCAACTATAAAACTAAACAGTGTACTTAATATGAGCTCTACAACAGTACCAACACTACATACAATCGATACAGGTGTAATAATAGATGTTTGTATGGAAATTTTATTTTATCGGAATCCAATAGAATGAAGCATTAATACTCGAGTATGAATATATAGCCAACAAACATATCGCTGAGTTTATTCTTAAGGTACATCCAATGGCATTCGTGTAGTAATTCACATATATGGATAACGACGATAAGCTATTTGAGTACCTTATACTTAATGGTTGTCGATATTTAAAGTTCACCCTCGCCTAGCAATGGCAGTAGCAAAGTTATACCAAATGCCATTTTTCATACGAAACTTACAGCTATCGTGTTGGAGTGGCAGAACACTACTCATACCCAGATATTCAAGGAGGATGTTCATGTGAATTAGGAGTATTTTTTTCAAAATACTTTTTTTATTTACAAGATTTAGATTTAATTTGTTCACTGACTTTGATGGCTTAGAACAGCCTGTTCTTTCCGGGCTCTGAGCGAATATTTTGGAGTGTATAAAATAGGTACAATATTGTTTTATTTCTGAAATATATAAGTTTTGAGCTTCAGACACCTACAAACTTCGTCTACAATCACGTCGATTTCGTCAGACATTGACTTACGCTAATAAATTTTGAAGCCGCTAAGGGTGTACACAACATTTATTTATTTCCTTATTTCCTATTTTTACAGTAACTAAATACTAATACAATAGAAAACTAACGTAAAACATAATATAAACATAACAAGTAAACATAGGGTCTTTGGGTCAGTCAGTGATTAGTCTGAACATCCCTTTAGGTCGGAGCACTAACACTACATCTTTCCACAGGCTGTTTAGGTTTTCCATACAAACATTTATAGTTACTCTAATATTAAAATGTTTGAGTATTCGTGTTATACGCCACTCAGATATATGGATTTTTGTTAGTCTTTTATAATATTTTCTAATTTGCAAAAGCGAATTTGCGGATAGATATCATAAGCTTAAGCTTCGTTTATAAGTGTTCATTCTTAAGACAATATTCAAATGAGTTTATTACAAGATAATTTATAGATAATTTCAATTAAGAATCGTATAGAATCATACTTATGCTTTTTAATTGAAAGTTACATAATAATCATTTAACAATAATGACCCGACTTTATAGACCAGATGGCCACCTTTGAACGTAGTTGCTGTTTATTCTAGAAATACATGGATACCTATAGGTTTGATTGAATTAGTGATTCTGATTGAGCTGTTCTCTCATATATGTGATTTAAATCAATAGATCATAAAGCATCATATATAGATATGTATACCAAATTAAGCGCACATGATTGGAAGGCTAATTAAATCATCATACTCAGATATTATACGATTCCAGCAAATATGATTCCCTTTTTTTTAAATCATGCAAAAACTGTCCCAATATTTCGCGTGCTGTATGTTGTACACATATCTAGTAAATTATTGTAATTATTGATAGAACGGTGTAATTTTTAATTTTATGATTAATTATTTATCACGTTTTAATATACTTACAAATCAACAAAATTTTAGTCTAATTAACTTTGGTTATAAAAGAAATAGTTGTCAGCTAATTAATTATTTTAATCAATCTACTGTACATAGATGTATATAGAAGTAATTTTATTTTTAACATATTATTACAAAATTATAAATACATTTGATTCTGTTGTAATAAATATTTCTACTCGTGATTTGTGTTTTAATTGATATTCTTACTAAATATTTGTAAGCAACAAAGGAATAGATTTATTTTCGCAAATTTCCCAACGAACTTTACAATAAGATATCTAGAAACAAACAAAAATGTATTGCAGATTATTTAAGAGGCAAACACACTATACACTGACCAACTAACAAAATACTACCACAGCTGCTAGTTTGCGCCTCAGTCGCAAAAAAAGAAAGAAAAACTAATAATTATATATAATTATATATATAATACTAATAATTATATAATACTAATACATAATTATATTAGTAAAAGTTAGAAGTGTAAGTAATAAAGTCTTGTGTAAAGGTGTATAGTAAATAAAATAAAATTAAAATTACATTATTAATTATATTAGTCACGATTAAACAACTGGAAAGGATATGGTTAAGGGTGTTTGTAAAAGACTTTTCAAAGATACTAGAGATAGATGCTAATAGCTAATCGTATGGGAGAGTATTCCATAACATTATGGCGGAGTTCTAAAAGCCTTGCCTATGAATGAGCGATATGGAAAGCTTAGTACACATTACACAATTCCATAAATATGTTTTTAAACTTCTCTGTGTTGTTGATAGATAAGTTAATATTATATAAGAGAAATTGCATTTTTAAAACAGTATTAATATCTTAAAAGCTCAAAAGAGATTAACATTTCCTGAAACATTTAATATTATTCACTTTGAGAACACGTTCCTTCTAAGTAAAAATAAATGGGTCGGTAGAACATTATCGATTCGGCCCGAGAATTGGACTAGACAAAATTTGAATGAAATTTATGTTGACAAGACGGTTAAGGAATGAAAAGAAAAATTGTTGTGAGAAACCACATAAAGCGATAATATTAACTTTGCGTGAAGTTAAAGCGTATTAGCTATGCTCAGAAAAAACGTTATTTTAATATTTAGGGCATTTTGCAGATGAGATATTTTTTAAATTGTACGCCGTAATAATACAGCCGCAATATTTCTATAATTAGGGCTTGGCCTCAGTTTGTATTTTCTCGTAATTTTTATTATATAGATAAAAATATTACAAGATTATCTAACACATGTCATCGATATAACACACACATAATATATAAATATATACACGATGTTTGTCTTCATGGACCGAAAAAGTTTTACAGAAAGTAAAATTGGTGAACTGCCGGTATTTAAGAACACGGTACCTTTGTGATAAGAAATAATAGGTTGCGAAACGAGAGATACACAGGGTGTATCTCTTTTCTCAACCCATTGTCAAAACCAACCCATTTGTGTATTACACACTAAATCTCGAAATATATTATATTTTTGCCGCAAACAAAGTCACCTATATGAAGTCTTATTAATATGAAAACCTATTGATCTATAATATTCTCGAATGCTATTAACATAAGCTTTGAATGTTTCAATGATATTAGCGTTTAGAATTTATGTTGTGTTAATTATCGAGAAAAGCTTTGAATATTACTACTATAATGAGCTTAATACTTACTGAGAATTTACATTGTCTAGGTTGCTATTATACTCATAGCTACGTAGATATTTAAAATAAAATTGTATACTAACAAAAGTCACGATTAAATAGATGGAAAAGATAATATGGTTAGAAGACTTTTCAAAGATGCTAGTAGCTAATCGTATAGGAGCGTATTCCATAACTTTATGGCGGAGACCTAAAAGATTTGCCTACGAATGAGCAATTTAGAGAGTTCAGTACAGGTTGCTATTATACTCAGAACTACGTAGATATTTGAACAATATAAAATGTATCCTTCTAGATCAATATCAACCAATATTACCTATAATAGAGGAATAATGAAGCATTGTTTTAATATGCGCTCGAACGGTGAAGGAAAACATGGTAAAGAAAACCGGCTTGCTTCGACCCAAATCATAGCATGTGTCATAGATATGATCAAGTCGACAGCTTGTGTCATGCACAGGAGGCTGATCACCTACTTGCCTAATCGATTAACAAGTGATCATCACATATACAGAAATCTGAAGCCCAGATATAAAAAGATTGTAGCGCCGCTGATTTTTTTGATGTCGCTTTGTATTTATTTAAAATAATTTTATAAATACCGTATTTCTGTCATGAATAAAGTTTTAATATTATTAATTTTCCTTCTTCATTATCCGATGTGCTTCACCGTACGAACGTGTGAATGCATACATAAATATAATGTCCATTGGTGCCACTGAGGATTGATTTTACGACCTGATTCTGAAAAGGTGGGAGCTTGTAGTTTATTGATTATTAGAATGCCAAATCATAAAATGACTGCTTCACGACTGATTTGAGAGTGACCGCCGATGCGAAAACCGCTGTGTGAGTTCGAAAAGTGTGTTACAGAATCGCAGGGCAGGTATTGAAATCCACTAGGCCAACAAATCCAAATACTTAATTAGATAGTATTAATACTTCCGCCATCCAATTTATATTATTAAAAATGTAACAGATAAGTAAAATTTTTAATTAAGCATCACTCTATTTCTGTCATTTGTGATGAATGTTTAGAACATTTATCTGTTTAGTCTAAAATAATAATAATTATTA